AATATTAAATATTAGTGAAAATAACTAAATACATTATATTTAACAATTTTTAAAATTATATTTAATTAAATATAATTAAATTTTTATAAAACTATTAAATTATAAGCTTAAATATTTCGAAATTCATTAATTTTTAATTTAATTTTCATATAAATTATGTTTAATATTTTATAAATTAAATTAAGTATTATAAATTATTATTAAAAGTTTTAATTAATTTGTTATAGAAATAACTTTTATAATGATTTCTCTAAATATTACAATGGAGATGTTAAAATATACTATTTAATTAAGTTTTGTAATTTAACTAGATTTAATATATTTAATTATTAGGATTTTATAATAATTGAGTTTAATTTTAAATTAAATGTTATATTATTTGTTTAATTTCTTATTAATAACAATGCTGGTAACATAAAAAACCTTTTGATGCATTGAATACAGTCTGCATACATTATACACATCCAGCGATATAGCGTAAGCCCATCCATATAGTAATAATATAATTATAGATATTATTTTGGAGATAAAGTTTAATACATTAATTATTAGTCAGCAGTGTCATATTAATGTATTAAACTTTATCACCATAATAATATCTTTAGTCGGTGTACATCTCATACAACGCATAATGTACGGGCAATGAGTATGTCCACGAGCCTGTTGTCGGCTCGGATTTTATTGTACAAGATCATTTATTTATATCATCAGTTTTACATACATTTTAAAAATTAAACATATATAAATTAACAATTAAAATTATAATTAATAACTATTAATTTTAAAATAAAATTATTTAATGATAATGAGGGGAGTAGTATGTCTTAGATTTGCACTATCATTGAGTGTAACAGTAGTTTATGATGTGTTGCGAGGGAACAGTGTTTTGCATTGTGTTTACATGTATTGTAGTGTTCATGGCGTCGGTGGTGTCCTCCTATTCACCATAATTCCGGGCCCTTTCGTAAACGTGTCGACAAAACAGATCCTGAATCTGAACGCCCGGAACCAATTGGTGACCTTTACATACGTCTGGCATAACATACTGTATATCTCGCGCTGTTTGCCATCGTTTTGCTGTTCAAGCAATTCATTCGTATTGAGTCCACAGTATAGTCAACCGCCCGGTGTTGTGGTCGCGCGAACCGCCCACCGAACCGGTATTCAATAGGCAACCACTTTGTGGTGACATTTCACTCACTATATATCTATTTGTGTCCCATTAGTAACTTTAGTCTCGGCACCATTAGTCATGAATTATGTTCTTGATAAACTTGATGTTAATAATTATATTAAAATGAAAATAGTAAACATTGTTTAATATAGTCCATGTTTAGTTTTATCTGCCCAGATATTAATTATATGTTATACTGCACCATGTTACTATAAATCAGTACTTGTTTTTGTCATATACATAATAACATAAGTATATAAGTTTCGAGAATTACTTTATTTAAACTTATTTTATTTTAAAATGTCATAAACTTTCATTTAAACATTGTCTCAAGAATTGACCCACATATATGGGTCACTAGTTATTGCCTACAAAAGCTATTATATTCAATACTACTGGACATTGCATTGAGTATTGAACCACGAGTTCACTACATATTTCTCATATTTCTCATTTCGCAAATGTAATCCTTTGTAAAACTGTTAAATAAAACTAAATTTAATATGTTTTCTAACATTTAAACACAAAATGTACTTTCACATAAGAACTTTACAAATATATTAACTGTTCATAAAACTTAACACTGTGTTTGATATTAATACTGTTATAGTCATAAAATTCAACAACTTTGCTTGGTGCTAAAATGTCTAATAATAACACTATACCCATGAATGTCATTGAATCCAATGTGAATCCTATCGAATCCAGTGATGAGACTCTTATTCAGCCACCAATTGATAATGAAAACACTGACAGAGACTACAATCAGCCGGGTATCAGAATTATGGTTATATTCCTCACGAGTGTTGGCTTTCCATTGCATACAGGGCTGACAGCTAAACATAATCCACGCAAACCATATAAGCGCTGTATATGGAAATGGGTTTGGATTTGCAAACGTGTATTGTGTTGGCTGTCCATACATTTGGCGGTTGTTGTCAGTGCACTGGTATGTGTCCAGTGGACAGCATTGCATAGGAAAGACACCAAACAATCGCTATTATTTATTATGACTTCGTTTACATGGAATTGGACGGCAATGCTAATGATTAACACATACTATATATACGGTAATCAAATGTCTACTTTTGTGGATAATATTGTCAAGCCCAATCTACCAGTCCCTACGAACAGGGTATTAAACAACAGGGAAGTGTTATATTCAGCGGAAACAATGACAATAATATGGCATTTATTATGGATCGTAAGCCTATGTGTGACACTAACGGACTTCCATTCGTACGGAATATTCTTGTTATACATTCTCACCGCTTATAACATCATTCAAGTGTCCGTGCATTTCATGCTTTTGTATAAATTCTATGCGATTCTTATCACACGATTCAAGAATTTACGGAATTTAATCAAAACGAGTATTAGTGGTGAAGATATATCTGTCGGCTTATTGACATCCGTTGCACACAAGTAATCATTAATTGATCCACTGGGTGCTTAAAAAGGTTATGTATTTTTAATGCAAACTGTATACATAACATAATCATTGCATTTCTCAAAGTAATAAACAATATTAGATACTATAAATGCAATGATTATGTTATGTATACAGTTTGAATTGAAAAATACCTAACCCTTTTATGCACGTAGACGATCAATTATAAAAAATATATTTTGTAGCTAATTGTTTATATACATAATTTTTATTAGGTTTCAAACAATTAATGCAAACAAAGTGGACGTGGAGTCGATGTTGAAACACTTTCAGTTCATTCAATGGTTTATATCGCAAACAATTGTCTTGGTAGTTGTATTATACACATGGCAAGTTAGTTTATTAGATCCTCGCGTCATCGGTGGCACCGTTATCACAGTCTACGGACTGGTAGTTATGTTCGTAACGGTTATAAAGGGCTTTCGTGTGACACATGAATGCCTCCAAACGTGCAAATGTATGCAGAATTACAGTGACCTCATTGTTGGGGTCAATAGTGAGCGGCACCGGGATCTAGTATTATTGGTTACTAATTTTAAAATTAATAGTACCCGGGTCCCAAATTTTGACTTTTATAGGAGTGAATGGTATTTACTATTACTGGTCTCAATACTTGAGTGTTTTTTCATTATTACTAAGTTTTAGTATTTGAGTGGTGATTAATGGCTCTGGATACTTTATAATATAAAGTTTATATAAAATATGCATTACATTACTTTAATATAACATTTTTAAATACTATTTTGTTTTGTGTAATATCCATTTGATGTTAATTCCGTAGATGACTAATAGTAATCCATAATAAAGTACATGTTACTTTTTTTAATAAACTTATGTAAAAAATTAATTGATATTAAAATTTTACTCTAATAATACTGATACAATGCTCTAGTTTAATTGGTGTGGATGTATAAATCTAGTAGAATGTAGAATTTACTTAATTAAATATACTCATGTAAAGCTTTATGTAATATGTACAGTGTATCTATTTGCCTTGGTCAATTATATTTATTAAGTATTTTTGTAGAAAAATTTCGAGTGATATACCGGTGAACACTTGCACTGAACTTAATAAACTAATATTTTTATAAAGGATAATCGAGAAAATAATATAAGTACTGTACAATTAATTATTTATATTTATTATTATTTTGGTACAACGTTATCATAATGAAGTTTGTTTGTAACATTAAATTACGGGGAGTATTCAAATCGTGGTATATAATAATAATAATAATCTAATCTATTATTTAATTTCATATATTTATATAGTGTATTGGTTTTATAAAAATGAGAATGTTTTATATGAGAAAACAGTAAATAAAAATTATAATTTTACGGATGTTAACAGTTATGCTTAACACTAGTTATTGTGCTGGCGCACAATGTCTTATGTGAAAATCCGTTTCAGGATTTAATTCTTAACCAATGTTTTCAAAAGGTAAACGCCGTCGGACTAAAATGTGTCATGGACATTTCACCGGACTTTGACATCACCAAGGTAGAAAATTTGGAGTTTGGTATCGAGAACCTTGAGAAACGGTGTTGCACACTTTCCGTATTCTACGATTGTTTGGTAAAAATTGGCAATGTGTCATGGACATTTCACCGGACTTTGACATCACCAAGGTAGAAAATTTGGAGTTTGGTATCGAGAACCTTGAGAAACGGTGTTGCACACTTTCCGTATTCTACGATTGTTTGGTAAAAATTGGCAAGGTAAATCAATAAATCTTAATAATAATTTATCATTAAAAATATGATCATAATAAAAAATAATGTTATGATTTATTAATAAAAAAAATCAAGTATGTTAAAAATAAATAATTAACTAAAAACGTATTATTTTTGAAAATTTTGCTAGATAATTTTTTAACATTATTTAGGACAAGTGCCCGGATAATGGTGATGAAATTATAAGACTATACCTTCGATATGATTTATCACGATTTTTACAGGACCTACGACCATGAACATTCCTAGTATTTATATTCCGGCTAGTTTTTACATGTAGCGGTTCATCAGGTTTAATTCACAACACTATTATCATGGTTATTTTTGTAGCTATTGCTAAATCATTTGTTTAAATATAAAACATATTTCAATGTGAACTCGATTTAAAATATTAAACTAAAAATTCGTTTAAATATTAATTGAAATATTTATTTTATTTTATTTATTAATAAACAAGACTTATTTCACCATTCAGGAAATTACAATATTTGATTATTTAACACATTAATTAAAATGATTCAAAATTAATATTAAAAATTTATTTAATTTAAACAAAAGTTTTTTAATAAAATAATTCCCTACTTGTTTAAATACAATAAACTAAAATAAAATACAATGATTGCAATTACTATATTAATGTACAAAAATGAAACTAAATATACAAAACAATAAAAATATACTATAATTAAGCTACATTTTGTGAAAATATAATTTTCCGATTTTATAATAATTTTATATATAAGGAGCTGTCTCACTTTGGTGTTGCATATATGCCACATATGGCATAGAAAACTCAGCCACTTCCTAATTGCATCAATTATTGTTATTACTATTTTTATTGCTTTGTTATTAATATAGGATTTTAATTATATTTATTTAACAACAAGGATATATATAAAATTCATATCTATTTTATTGGTGTAATGATAATATAAATATAAAACATTCATTAGTGTTTAATAAATAATTCGTTCGCTTAATATTTTTATAATTATTATTATTATAAATACTATTATGAGGTAATGTTTATTAAATTAATATTACAATACTGACAATACTGACAATACTGACAATACTGACAATACTGACAATACTGACAATACTGACAATATGAACATTATTTCGAATTAAGAGTTGCGATTATATTTGATTAACAAAGATCCATGTTATTTAAAATAATATTTTATAAAATATCTCACACAATTTTTACACAATTGATTGCACCACTGTAAAAATATGAAATATCATAAACAAATATATTATTTACTAATAGTCATTTATAACATATAATATAAGGCAACATGTTGAATCTTGTTATGTGGCTATGCAATCAAACTGTAAACAAATATTTAACTTAATACTATATATAGCAATGAATGTGGTGATATAATAGTAAACAGCGAAATACTCCAGTTTACAATTTGCTTGCACAGACAGATAACACAAATCAGCATATTACTTGTTACTTTATGATATTTATATAATTAACAGTTTTTTGGAAGTAGTAATAATATTATTTTATTATTTGTTTTTCATAATATTTTTCCAGAACATAATATGTATTAATAGCGATGTTTATTATAAGTCGATTTAAAAAGTGCTGTTACTACTTTCAATTTATATTTATTAAGATAGGTGACTGTGTTTTTATAATTTTATATTTACTTAACTAATTATTAATAAAAGAATTTATATAATAATTATTATTTATAAGATGTTAAAAGACACAGTATAATATTATTTAAGTGAATATATTTAATTTTAGTTTCTTTTAAAATTTCACTCGGGACAATGTGTTTTAATTTAACTTTGTTGAGTTATATTTCAATTATAATAAATTTAAGCTTAATTTGGGCAAGAATTCCTACTATTCCGCCGTTTCCTAAAGAACCAGGATGTTTTAATTTAACAAATAAAATATTACATTGCCAATTAATTAATATCCCACAATTGTCCAATGCCAATTATGATGAAATTCGTATAAATGAAGTTTATCAAAATAATTTATCTATTTACAACACAAAAACCTATGCACTTTCATTATATAATATTGTGGACCTTGGCCCTATTGATGAAATATTCAAGTTAGATTTTAAAGCTTTAACCTTATTTGATTGTGATTTAAAATTTTTAAAGTATATTTTGAATCACCCGTGTGATAATGTCGAATCATTGATGCTTAAATATAATTATGATTTAACTGAAATTAAATTAGAAACTTTCAGCAAGCTCGAAAACATTACAGTATCAAGCATGGTAAACATAGGCGAGAATTTTGTCACAAATATTAAAGGATTGAAATATTTTCGTGTAATAATAAATTCAATATTGTATTTGCAACCAAAAACATTTGTATTTTCAAATATCTATAATATGACACTCGATTTGTCTAATAATTATATTAGTCCAAATGTTTTTAGTCAAATACATGTGTCAATCGATAATAATATAAGCTTTATTAATATAAATTTGCAAGATAATATTATTAACAGTTTGCCTGAATATGTATTTCGTAAATATGGTGAATATTCATCAAGATTCAAAATTAATTTGGGCAACAATAATATTCAATGCTACTACCGGGAATTGTTTTGGATTTACGATGCTGATATTAATGCAAAAGATCATTTTGAAAATATATTTTGTCATAATTATAATAAGTACTTATTAAACATGAAACCTAAAGATTTTCATGATTATGACCCCAACATAAAGGGTAATATTAAATTTAAATTTAATTACAAATCAAATCAATTTATTTAGTTATTACAAAATTATTTACAGATTCAAAAAATTGGTATTTTATATTGTATATTATTGGATTCATTATAATTGTGACATTAATGGGATTGTCAATAATATTGCTATTAAAATGGTATTTTCAACGAGGTGACGGACCAAGTAAAATTGACAGAAAAATAGATTTAGGTGATCGCAAGGGTGAATTTAGGATAATAAAGTTTATTGGGAAAGGTGGTTATGGAAAGGTCCACAAAGTTATGGGTAAATCTGACCGAAAACTCTATGCAATTAAGACAATTCAACATGGTAGTCTAAATTTTGGTAAGTGTTTTCTTATTATTTATAATGTTTATTTAATTAATTGAATATTTTTATTAGAAAATTTATTAGCTGAGGTTAAAATTATGATACACTTAAATGGCGGTGAATATATTGTCAAATATATTTCATCATGGAGATCGCACTCTGATAGTCTACTCATTCAAATGAATTACTATGAATTCAATTTCGAAACTGTCATTGAAATAATCAACGATACATTTAAATCTCCAAATGAACTCGATATAAACAAAATCGAATATTTCATCAAGTCCGAAATGATTGTCGAATTAATATGTGGGTTAAATTATTTGCACACCAAAAAGGTGTTGCATCGTGACCTTACTCTTAAGAATATTATGTACGATACAAACTCAACGTCTGGCATACATTTGAAGATTGGTGATTTTGGCCTTGCTACATGTTTTGAGAGCAATACCATAAGGGATTCAAAGTGTCGTGGCACAGCAAGATTTATGGCACCCGAAGCGTTTAATGGGGTCTACAAACCATACTCAGATATTTATAGCCTTGGTAATATCATCAATGTTACAATGGACTTTGCGTAAGAATATATTTTTATTTAACAATATGTATAATGTAATTCCATAGTGATTTTTTATAAAATACAAATACTTTACTTGACTGTAATAGTAAACAATTTGTATTTTATTAACATTAGCATCCCATTACACATATTTTATAAATTTATTACTAGGTTCATAAATTTATTTTTACAGGAGTAGAAGTCTAAGATTATTTGAAATTGAACTGAACAAGATTGCCATTAAAATGATAGATTTCTTACACGATAAAAGGCCTAGTTCAAGTGAGTTATTAGCGTGCATTCACACATGGAGATTAAAACCGGATCAAATTATTAATGAACCAAAATTAATTATTAATTTTGATGATTCGAATGAATTTTTATATAAATTTTATAAAATTAAAAGTTCAACTATAATTAATTAATTAATTTATTTATTATTTAATTTATCAAAATTATTTAAATAACAATATATGCAAACATAAATTATGTTTACTATTACTTATGATTGCAATCAAGATTTATTCAAATTGATCTATGTTCTTTTTTATAAATGTACCATCATTTTTATAATTGCATAAATAATTAAATAATAAATTATTTTGTATTGTCAGTCACTTTGTTGTAGATTTTGCTTTTCTATAATAAAAACTTCATAACAATATTTAATTTTGATTGATCGATAAGTTGTACATTAAATTTATTACCCTTAAACCACAAATTAACAAATGTTACAGTTTTATAGTTTTATATTTTAATCATTCTTATTAAATGTTTACTAGCTTAGTTGGAAGGTGGTTTAACCATTTTCTGAAATCACAATTAATAACCTGATATTTTCCCCTACATTACCGTACGTAGTGCGGTATAGCCGCAGACCAGTCATTAACTTTAGAAAGTGTTTTTTTAAGTTTTATAGTTTTTAAGAAAATCCCTACGTAATCTTTTTAATAATAACAATATTGCACCCTTTTATAATTATCAATTCATCATCATCAAATAACGTAAATGTTATTTTCATTAAAATAATTTAACATTAATTGTAGTTCCACTTATAACAATATTAAAGCTTTATTAACCATATAATTACCGGTAATTTGTTTTTATGCATATTACATTAATTAGTCTCAAGAAAATGTATTTATTGATTTCCATGTTATGTTGTTGTGTAATCTTTTGAGTACATAATAATTTATTTAATTATTATTATGTAATAAGTAATATAATTTAAATGTACAATCCTATTATGAGTTAGATTACACCGGAAAGTATTTCTATTAAATTTAATATTTCAAATATTTCACTATAATTTCCATATGAAAATGTCTGAAACGCATACCACCAAGTTACAAATATTTTATGGTTTTGGATTTTTGCCTAGTTACCGGATTAATTTGGATACAGATTTAATATGCCATTATAATTGCACTAATAATGGAAATATACTCTATTTGCTTGATTCGGTATGAATAATTAAATTATTAATAAGTTTGTACAAGTATAATTTTAAAATTTTATTATAGCAAGTATTACGTGGAAAGGATTTATCACTAATCGAGTATATTGTATGTAAATTGTGTCTAACCATGGTGTTTAATACGGGTAGCTTGCTTAATCTGGTAAGTTTTACAT